GGCCAGGAGACTGTGTTCGTCAGACCTCTAACCATTGACCAACCTGGTATGAGAGACTCTGTGAGTGTCGCGCGGACACCCCCTAGTATAGCTCAATGGGTCGCCGAGGTACACAAACCGCCACACCACGATAAGGTCCAGTCTCTTCGTGACGGGTCCCACACCAGCAGCTGCATCATTCTAACCGTACATCCTGGTAGTGAGAACTTTCGACGCCAATACTGAAGTAGGGTGGTTAAGTAATATGAGCTGAAAGTACTATTTTAAAGGACGTAAGAAATAATCGAGGATCGCATAACGGCTCTGGAACCATACATAACCCTGTTACAGATATACTACTTACTAATGAATAGTAGCCAACCAGTGTGTTATTGGGGAGCGCAGTGGTGCGTAGCGGTGGGTTAGCGGCACAACCACTAAGCCACCGTTACTCACCACCACGCTCCCCAAAAACGCACTGATTATGTCATCTCGAGTGGTGGTGAAACGTTTGCAATCAAATTGCCCAGCTCAGCGAACAAGCCGACGACCATCTACGCTACCTGAGCTACCAGCATTTTCCTCTATAGAAATAGCAGCCCACGTTTCTCGCAATGACAGAAAAGCGTAGAAAAAGTCGGTATTCAGCAAATGCGATAACAACAGCTGAAAGGCTTGTTTGATTTTGAACTGCCTCATTTCAAGGCGTAAAAAAAGCCAAGATAATCCTATCTACTTGATTCAGAAAAATCATTCAGTCCAAGATAGCCACCAAATTGCCCATGTGTTTAATTCGGAGGAAATTTAGGAAACATTTTAACAATGATGACCATCATCACAACTCACTCTGGAGAGAAACGATTTGACAAAATCCACTTCTTCCGGGTCTGCCCCGGCGAATATTTCAGTTAGAGTGAGCAACGATTCCTCGTGAATAACATCGGAAAGACTGACGGAATTTTTTCGGTGATGGGCAGTTGGAGACTGTAACAGCGGAACGAAATAGAGGATCGGTAGACCCGATTACCAGGTGAAAAACAATGCAAAGATAAAAACTCCTGAAAGACACATTTTGTTTAAATTACGTTAATCTTATCACTGTGTCTCTCTCCCAGGTAAAAACCATCCTGTTATCTCCAAGTGTCTACCGACCGACACCGACAGCGACCCGAATTCGCTAGGTCCGGGAGCTGGGTGTCAGAAAATTGGCAGCTCGGACAAGTTTAACGACAGTTGATCAACTGATCAGTTCCCAAGCTCATTGAAAAGATCAACAACCATTTGACCCACGAACAGCAACTGGATCAAACTTGTGCAGCTGGGTGTCAGAAAATTGGCAGCTCGGATAAGTTTAACGACAGTTGATCAACTGGTCAGTTCCCAAGCTCATTGAATAGATCAACAACCATTTGACCAACGAACAGTAACAGGATCAAACTTGTGTGGTCAATAATGGATGAAGTAACCGAGCGAAAATAATTGGGACGTAACTGAAATAGTTGTGAAGCCTTTTAAAAAGCAGCCGAGACGACTGGACGTTTCTTTCGGGATGGTCCAGAGGAAGAAGGTTGACCGAAACATGAGCGCCATCAAAGATGCTGAGAGAACCCCCTGTATTCATGATATCGCTGAGCCAGGAACAAGGTGTATGTGCAGAAACACGAAATGATAACTTCCAAAATCCCCAGGTTAGGCATAATTCATTGATCCTCAGCCATATGACAATGAACACTTATTAGTGGGCACCAGAGACGTCGAATCACATACAACCAGCTCCCTCCTGAATGTCAACCTCATGATCCGAGAGTTGCAAGCCGCTATGCGCAAAACACACGGCATCATACGCTGATTGTACGATAAGGCTTTTGTTGGAAAAGAATGCGCGAATACAATCCTGTGTCTCTGAGTGGTCGTTGGAAGAAACCAGGCTCAGGTGCAATCACATCACATTTGGCCGAAACCATTCATGTCATCGACAAAGACCAATCCTTCGCTACCATATACCGAGTACCTCCGAAACGATCACGACTGGTGCGATCCATACAACGGTCGATCACAGAAGCTTTTTGGAATCCGACTGCTGGACCCGCAAGTTTGCATCTAAAAGAAACTTTTGTCACATCTGTACTTCAAATCCGGTCCCACAAGCCTGTCTGACAATTACTTGGTTCGGTGGACCATTGACCTACCCCTTATTCGGCCCCCCTTTCCTTTGATTCCTATTTCACTTAAGTGTATGTACCCCCGATTCTAACCTTTTTCGAGTAATCTCTGGTACCATATGAATTTGCGATGTATTAGCCAAGAGGACCAATTACAGAAAGCAAGCTTTGTTCGCTACCTTCGTTCTTCTCGCACCACTTTAAATAAACGAGCAGTTGGAATTTGGCATAAAAGTATATTCGCAATGCGATGCGTCCATATTGAGCATACCAAATCCACTCAGTCTAAAATCTCCGGATGCCTAAGGACAGAGAGAACTTGATAAACGGAATACAAACTAAATAAGGTGAACGCAGGCATCGAGCGAAAACCGGAAGCCACGAAAGAAAGCAGGGATAATGGCCGTGGCGCAACTGGAGTATACATTCAGGCATCCAGTACGAAGTCTCAACTTACCGTCAAGGTTGGTATCATGCCTGCGTTATGCAGCGAGGCTTCTTCCGAGTGAAGAGTTCTGATCGCCTGTAAAATGCGACGACGCCACTGTGAGCGTTCGATTTTGTCTTGGTCTATTTGTGCTGTCAGGTCGGTAACAAATTTTTCTGATCCAAGTTTCTGTCAGAAAAAAAAACAAACAGAAAAACGGAAGACATTTAGACAATCGAGAAGAAAGGTCTGCAGATAGAAACCTGCACTGAGAGAGGTCTGAAGCACAAGTGAGATGTCCACTGCGAAAAGGCAGTCAAACTGTGTATAACTTGTTTTCTTTGCAAAGTTCGATCTGTTCAATATCAGTTCGACGCCAAGCTTTCATTTCCACACCTGAAATTTTATTACCGGGAAGATGGGAGTGATCCTGTATCCAAAACTGTGTGCTAGCTGCATCGTAAAGGAAGAAACTTAAACTCGATAGGAAAAACATAAATAATCGTCCGGATATAAGACCCATTTCGGTGCCTAGCTGACATATCATACGAAAGAGGAACAAGGCTGCCCGAGGCTAGACAGGAGAAGTTAAAATGTGTATTAACCCTAATGCTCTTCATAAGCAGAAAACGCACGATAAAAGAGATGTTCTTTGTTTTACCTCACTGACGAAGGTCACGTTTCAACCACTAAGCCATCTCTAGCTCAACGGGTTACCAATTTGGAATGACTCATATTCTCACAAACGAGTGGCGAAGTTGAGCCGAACTAACTCAAAACGATAGCAACGCCAAGGATTCATAACTGGAAGTGAGGGGTGAAGTACTGCGTTCAGTCCAATAAGGAACAGCGGTGCTTTTATAAACAGGGTTTCTGGTGTACGAAACTAAGCCAACGCTTCGTGAGAGGGTCTTGGGAAGACAGTTTCGTAGTGGCAGAAAAAGAATCGTTAAATATCATTCAGAGGTTTGAATAAGTTTTGGTGTGCTAATCGATCAACCTTCATAAAAGAGAATGAGGAGATATGACAGCTTCCAATGAACGATCTGATGACCAAAAAAGTCGACTCTCAAAGGTCCATAAAAACCGCGAAAATAATAACAACCGTTCAGCTGTAGCACCCTTTCGGTGCCTAGCTGCCATGCCACACGAAGGAGGCACGAGGGCTGGGATATTGCCAGGTCGCCCAACCCTAGACGGGGCAAGTCGAGAAGCAGAGGTCGGGTTCGAACCACGGACCTTCTGGTCAGTAAATTCGCGCCCCAACTACTTGGTCCATTCCGCCTCCCATAAAAACCGCATGCAAGCAATACAATATAATGGGTTAAGCAACGGGGAGAATGAGGTTTAAGTATGAAGAGCCCAATTTTAGAAATGCGTCTCCTACATGATCATATCTGAGGAAAACTGAAATTCACCTGCAGTAAGGTGTCCGAGTGAGCTGAGTGGTTAAGGTGCGAGCTTACTGACCGGAAGGTCCGTGGTTCAAACCCATCCTCCGCATCTCGACTGCTCCTGTCTAGGCCTGGACAACCTGGCAGTATCTCAGACCCCATGCTTCCTTTAGGTGGCATGACCGCTAGGAACCGGATGGGTTACAGGTGAACTATTGTTATTTATTAAGGAATAATCATTGATGCAACGGTCAGTGGCAGATCCGAGAGCTGTAGTGGTAATCCATGCATGTCGGTATCAAGATGCCTTCGTATGGTCAAAGTTCGGTCATTGTTAAGGTTCTTGGAAGATATAGTAAGTCATTGGACCCTGTCTTCAAGATCCCTCAAGAACTAATGCGTCAGGTAAGTGGCAGGTAATAAGCAAACTGATAGACCTGTAAAGTTGTCTGATGAGGGTTGCCTCCGTCACTTTAAGACGAAAGTGGTAATTGATGGGACCACTAACATAAGTTGGGCTCCGCATGTGAAAGAAATAAGCCTTTCAACTGAATCTCTCGTTTATGATATTCTACAACTGAATGTGCTGCACACGGGTCGCCTCATGTTTCAGTTGACACGATGTTCGAGATATCGCAGTATGATGATGAGCCCCAAGAAGGGCGAAACCGGTCATGGGCTGTCGGAGACTTTTCAGCAACCTCGAGAGTATTTCCTTTCATGCATCACTTCTTTCCCCTACACAAACCAGCGGTCTGAAAACCCGCTCTAACTGTCGGGGTGTATCCTCCGACTCGTCACTTGATGGCTATTACCAAAGCAAATGGCTTACCGCTTGCGTCCGGCTTGCGCGATCATTCAGGTTGCATCATTCTTACAGGGTTCGCTGACTATGGGTCCCTATAGCATTTAAACCACTTTGGGAGTAACGAAAAGAACGAAAAATATTGGTCTGAGTGGAATCATGACGCTCCCCACTACCCATCGAAGATGTGACTAATTAAGAACACGATCAAAAAGATGAAAGATGGGAACGAAAAATTCTGCTGCACGATTCCCCAAAACCGAACGAGACAAGTGTATTGCAGCCTTTTTTAGTTTCTTCTATATATCAATGATGGATACTGTGGCAGATGTGTATCCATGTCCTCTGGCGTATTTGTACCCCAACTACTGCGGTTTTGTCCCAGCAACAGACAAGTAGTTTCGCTGATCGATGGCCCCATAAAAACCTTCCTCTGTGCCCTTTTCTGATCCAACAGTTTGGATTGTCCTCCAAATTTGCTCGATTGTCCCATGTGCTGCAGCACAAATTGCTCCAAGAAGCCATTCTCCACCAACGTTTTTGAAACGAGGAACACTTCTGCATCTACGGTGACGTCGGTATATATTCGACAAGCCTTACTGGCTTCGTTTCTCTCGTATTTTATCAAACAACTGAAACTGTGGTCAGACCGCGGGGGTTTCCGGCATAGTCGCATCTGAAGACTGTCGTTCTGTTTTCGCATGAGCGCGGCACCCAGAAAGTTAACATTAACACCATTCCCTTCTTCTGCGATAAACTACAGCGCCATATGCATCAGATTAAAATTTTGAAGTAGTCCCTCAACTGTAGCGTGCAAATAATGAGTCCTAAGGTATCACATCATATGATATAACATTATCAGATCGTTTACAGAAGGGCTACTGTGAAATTACTGTGACTGACAGATGTTCAACTCTACCCATGAGTAAATCAGCTAAAACCCGGTCTAACAGGAGTGGCCAGATATGAGTACGGTTGCTACCTTATGTCTGCAAGTGTACATGACTGGATGATTGCAGAATATGGGCGAGATGGACCAAGTGGTTAGAGCGCGAATTTACTGACCGGAAGGTCCGTGGCCTCTCGACTTCCCCTGTCTAGGCTTGGGCAACCTGGCAGTATCCCAGCCCTCGTGCTTCCTTCGGGTGGTCACGCAGCTAGGCCCCGGAAGGGTGTTGCAGCTGAACGATTATTATTTATTATTCGATTGCTGAATATGTAGTCGAGGCTAGTCTGACCTCGAGTTTGGAAACCCAGTGTTTAGCAAGAGAACTTGTTTGAGGACTATTCGATTGCTGAATATGTAGTCGAGACTAGTCTGACCAGTGTTTAGCAAGAGAACTTGTTTGAGGAAAGATCCCTGGGATTGATCATGAATACCGCAGACCAAAGAGCAACACAAATTGTTTGAAGGAACATCAGCGAATTTTCTAAGTTCTTCCACATAAGAACGAAGGTAGCGAACAAAGTCCACTTTATGCGATTGATCTTCCTGGCCGATAAATCATAAATCTGTACGATACACGGAGGGGATTACGTGTAGCGCTATAAAAACCACGGGCCCATGTTGAGAAATGTGAAGGGAATCGATAACAAGGGTCAATGGGTCAGAGTCAGCCGGATTACGTCATTGCCCAACAAGTTAGTGGGACAAAATTGTTCGTAGGTCAGCTCAAGTTCAAAGGTCATACATGTTTTTTGACCGCAGATATGTAGGTTAATCGACCGGATTCGGATGGCCTCTGAAGTCAGTAATAGACTGAATCGTACCAGTATTGATCGGACGATGGGCAAACACCATGAATTTAGTCTAATAACGGAACCCACACAGCATGGTAAAGTATTGACCAACTCCTCAAGTGATGACTTCTCAGAAGGGGGTTTGGTACGTATAGTGAAGTTATCCTTCCTGTGAACTGTTTATCGATTCATGGTGATTGGGGAGATTGGGTAATACTTAGAAGTTTAGTTCTCTACCGCGTATGTCGCCAGTTATGCTGAAAAGCCGAGAAGCACTGTAGGGTTGATGAAGAGCGGACGGCGTTAAGTACCTTCAAACAGGTGGACACCATAGTGATTATAAAGGCGAATAAGGAAAGGGCCACCGTCGACATGAACGAGTGATTATCTACGGAAGCCAAGCAGCTTTTAGCTGAGGGCCTTTACCGGAAGATCGATAATGGGAGAGTTGCATCTATACTTAATACGAGTAAAGTTGAAGTTGGTAGATATTCGCGGTCCGCGATAAAACACTGAGGGCAAGGCAAGTGGTACCGAGCCGCGAATTTGCGGCCTACCAAAAAGCAGATGCGCCTGTAAGACCGACAGTAGACGGAATAGTTTCCCCACCTCATGAGCTGGCCAGGTGCTTGGCAAGAATTTTTCAAACCTTTCACCGGGAGATCTAGTACCTATATTAAGATTAAACATATATTAATATTGCATACACATTGAGCATATTATGACTAAACAAAGCATCGGGTTTCCACGTGGAACCAAATGACACACTTGTGTGTTTCAGTTGAGAGAGCACCTCTCGGTGAATAGAACCAGCAACTGTTTACGCAAAATCAAATATGACAAGTGCACAAGACAGACAACCAGAGAAATTCACATCAAAATCGGCGAGAACAAAGGAAAGATAAACAGGCCGTCGAGAAATGAATGTGAATACTGAGCAGTACTGAAATACTCAGCTAGACACTGGAGACAAAACAGATTTTGAAAACGTTGAAGCTTTGAGATGGGGGCCAAGAAGTGACGACAGGGACGATGGAGATGCCCAAACATCCCACGTAGAAAATAGCGAAATACACTCATTTGCGAGAGACTCACCCGGAACCCAGAGGGCGTAAAAACTTTCAAGCGCTAGAGAAACGGCCTTAGATCAGTCGATTTGACAAACCCAGAGGGCGTAAAACTTTCAAGCGCTAGAGAAACGGCCTTAGATCAGTCGATTTGACAGTGGAAGTGTTTGAGTATCAGCGAAGAAGTCATCAATAAAAGTACCTTCGATAAACTAATCACTTGACTTGTTTAACAAACCCTTCTGGAACGATGACTTCTCAATCGGTTCTAAAGTTTTTCCTAAGAAAGAGTGAGTTTTATTATTCCTAACATCGTTTTTTTTCAGAGAATCCATTGTATCCTCAGGGACTTGCACTAGCCCACTATTCGACTGATCGATTTCAAACAATTTCAAACCTCTAAGTAGGGGGTTGTGAGTGCCCTAATTTGAAGTGCCAAACCAAATAAGATAACCGCATCAATGTGAGGCAGGCTTCAGCCGATCAAAGCTCTCTACTGAAGAAAGAAAAGAGACAAAGCAGGGTTGGCACAAATAAAACCGAACCTATTCTCATTTGCCCCATGGTTGCAATACACGTCATGAAAATACTTTGAGAACACACACGTTCTTCATCATAACTTCATTCCCTGTGGATGGAATCGAACGATTTTGGATCAGCAGCTGACGGATGCCGTCAGAAACCAATCTAAGGATTCACATCACAAACGAGAGATTCACCTGGGTTCCAGTAACAGTCTCTCACAAAACGAAATTAGTTTTCAAATGAGTGTATTTCACAAGAATGATGTTTTGATTAACCGGTGTCGCATCGTCTCGAAACCCTCGTAAATCACGCGGACATATTCCTTATTGACTACTGACTAACGTTTTTACATTTCTGTTTCACCAGCCATTTGAGAGGTATGAGATACTGCGTTACTCGGTTGCAGTGTTCCAACCTCTGTTCCACTCATGGTAGCGAGTTCCAACGTTGAGTATGAATGCACATATCAGGGTCTCATTAAATATTTATAAGTGCCAATGTTCTGATTTCGATAACTGAGAAGTGAAGGTGCCATGTCCGTAATCGTTCCACACGTGTGGTTTATAGAAGTGCGCGTTCTTTCGATCTCCATCACCGACTCCGGGTGTCATCAGGCTAAGTCTGACATGAGACCATTTCCAACCGATGGGTTTATCCTGTAGCTTAGATTACCGCGCCTTTACGAGTATTCTGACATACTGATACTAGGCTCCTTGCTCTTTGGAGTGTGAGGTACTCGCATGTAAACTGAAAAGTTTTTCAGCTCACTAAATGAACAAGTTAATACAATACCAAAGTTTTATTGAGACCGTAAACCCAGATTTTTGGATACTTAACGTTACCAGTCGTTGTCATGAGTGGACAGGAGGCTGAGATATTCTGGCAGGAAAACAAAGTGCTTCACTCCTCTCACAGAGTCAAGAGTTGGTTCGCGATCCATCGTTTGTAGTCAAGTTGTCGTACCGGTCTATATCCGATTTAGACCCTATCAAATACACTTGCCCAGTGAGGGTACGCAGGTTCAAACGTATAGGATCCCTAAAATGAGTCAATGTCCGTCCAAAAACACGTATATAACATCCTAAAAAGTTTGGATAGGCGGTCTGCAGAGGCTTCGAGACCAAGTGGCCGGAAAACGTTATCATAGTATCTCTGTACGACACGTGTTGTGGGGCGATCCCAAAACTTTTGTCCTTTTAGGTCAGCTGATCAGAACAATATTCTTGCAAATTCTGAGATCGAATTCTGATAGGATCCCAGTTCCTTCTATCTGGGCTTGGGCAACCTGGCAGTATCCCATGCCTCGTCCTTCCTTCAGGTGGCATGGCAGCTAGGCACCGAAAGAGTATTACAGCTGAACGATTACCTTTACCTGTCCACAGAGAGCAGAGTTATGTTTAAAGCCATAATTGTATTGCGGCGTTAGGAGACAATGAGAGGTGCACCTGCTTCCTGACAACTTTTCATAGTCTGTTGTAAAATGTGAGAAATTTGCATTCCAACCCCAACAGGCGACGGAGTCTGAGTAGTATGCGGAAAGAACAAAAACGGATTGGGACGACTAGTGAATTGAATAAAATTTGTGATTTCTCATGGTTACACAGTAAGTCATGTTTTACGTTCCATCCTGTGCGCTTCCCTTCCCTTCACCTAAGGAAGGGAGTTTTTTTAACCCCCTAGGGCATTCGTGTTTGCGAGTGATAAGTGTACCATTACGGTAGACAGATGAGCATAACATAGCGTTAAATCGCGAAGGGATAGATAGAATTCTGTACAGAAGTTGAATCGGAACTGCAAGGCTCACCGATCCATGGGAACACATTGTCGAGTTCGAAAGTGAATTGTCTTCATTCCGTTTGGGAAGGTCCACAACGGACGAAGACGCGCCCAGTTGAGTGAGCTCTTCGTGGTGGACCAGACGATCTTGAGATACTCCCCGTACGACAGGAGAATCCGTCTGTGTGTGGAGAACGTAAACAGAATTACGAGAATGTGGTGATGTCGCCCAATTGTGTTTCAAATGAGGACGATGACCCAAAGACTGAAAGTCAACAAAGTAGTCCCTCTCGTCCAAAGAGCGGGATCGTGCTCAGTGGTGAGTACATTTTCGCTCGCAAAAGAACAAACAAATCCATATTCTTTTCCATTGTTTGGAAAAGGAAAAACTCAGGAACAACCGACACAAAATAGAACAGTGACATATGGATGAACTCACAAACGAAAGCTCGGTGGTAAGGGAAATCAACTGTCCAGGAGTACGGTAGTATTCGAGTGGGACAGAAGCGACGGAGGGCGTGTTCAGGACGTCGCTAGCCCGAATGGCTGTTGGAACGGACAATAGAAAATTGTGAAAAGGTAATTTACATGGGATGCAAGAAATTCACAAATCGAAACAGACGGTACAGACTCCAAGACACAAACTGCGGGTACAAAAGAACCATAACTCAGGATCGACTCTCGATGGCTGGATCGCGACAACATGGTTCTAACAATCACGACCAATCTCAGCAAGGTGTACGAAAGATGAAACGAATGAATTATCGGGTGGAAAAATTCTAGTAGCTAGCACGCGTGTGATATTGTATTTCGTATCGCATGTCTGAAAGGTTCCACTTCGGTAGACCCGAAATGAGTCCCCTCAGGAGATGGACCGCTCCTCTAGTCAATGACAGTTCTTCCCGTTAGTCATGATCTGCTGTTACTCACAATCGAGAAACCTACGTGGAAATGCTCATTCCACCGGTGGAGGTCCTGATATAGCCGCATTTCATAAAGGATGCAGTTCGAAACAGGAACTAATCTAACAGTGTCCGCTCAGGAGGTTGAAGTTCCAGTGTTTAAAATCCTTCCCAGAACGATGCACTCACCAGTAAGAAGCATGGCCCCTAACGTGCATCTTACTGAGGACGGCCGAGTTCACATATCAACAGACTGGCTACTTGGGGCTCCCCAGCAGATGTGCAAAGGAGTGTCATTAAAACAGTGGTGGTATGCTTGCACGTTTCGAAGGAGATTCCGGGACAGGTTCTCCTGGGACGAAACAGCTTTTCAACCTACGGACTCAGAAGGAATTTCACCAAAACACAAACCAACTGTCATCAAAACCTCATCGTAATTCCATCATATACAAGTAGAAATTTATGGAGCCATCAAAGCTTGACATTTCCTAATTATGGGCTTTTGCTATTCCTCAAACTCGTCATCAACAAAACAAAAAGGCGATTCTGTGCAAAGATCACCTTAGGTTAAGGGTACGGTGGAAGACAGATCATATGAATCGTCATGACAGGTCGTAAATAAGCTGTGTTCAGTCTGTGAAAGCGAACTTGGTGAACAAGTGACCTTAATGTCGAGAAGAACGATAAGGTTTCATTGTTTACGGAGCGCTGATTGGGCGGCTGTCCCAAAGTGCAACAGTTTTAGCCTACATAGCAGCTCACCTTGCCGTAGCCGTAAAATTTACATCAGCCATTTTTTTTACCAAAGTCTACGGGATGGCACTACCTACCATACAGTATCTTACAATGTGAAACGGTCACTGTGATGTGACGCAGGCGAAGCGTCACATCGAAGCGTCTTACTAACATCGAGCTAGTTCACTCAGTGCCTAAGGTATTGATTCACCGCGAAAGATGAATGATGGCTTCATAATGTATGGAGTTCTTCGTGGCAATACCGCGCACTGAAGCGAGTTCATACCCAGTGAATTGAAGAATGTCATCCTATAAAGTATCACAGGACCGTCGTAAAAACAACGCTGAATAATCTGTCTAAATCCAAAATTACTCCGTTCTTTACATATATATGTATATATTGTTGTTACCCCTTTGGAGAAACCGTTTCAATCACCCGTCCCAAAGCTGCAAATCGGCTTACTGTTTCTCGGTTCCTACTTTTTCGACCTACCGGCTTCCCATGACAGTCCACTGAAATCGACTATCTTAGGGCACGAGGCGATCGTTTTTATGGACCCGTTTGCAGGAACGGTAAGAAAGAAGCAAAACTATAAGAGCATGAAAAATCAATGTCTTACGGTGATTCCAGGATAAAGTGGATAGGCCGAAATCGGTCAATTTCAAATGACCAGCGGCAGTTATGAGAATATTGTCTGGTTTTAGGTCACGATGAATGATCCCATGTGCATGCAGATATTCCAAAGCAATACTGATTTCCACCGTGTAGATTGCTGCGTGTTGATCCTTGAGGTAGCCCAAAACAAGAAGCAAAGTCTTCAGGTCTCCGCCAATCAAATATTCCATGACCTACAATGCGCGGGGTGGGGACTAGGAAAAAACTAGCCATCGACTCACCAGGTAAATGTGACTGGTTGTCTGTAAGGAGTAATACAAGTGAACAATATAGGGACACTTGCTAACAGCCAAAGCGTTACGTTCGGCAGTAACTCGGAGGAGGATAGAGATTTTAAATCACAACAAGATGAGTACCTTTGTCGACCAGGTTTTTTCGCTTCATCTCCTCCTTGGAGACAATCTTGATGGCAAAAAGTTTGGTCCCACCCTCTTTTCTCGCCAAAAACACTTTTCTACAGGGATGGGGATGAGGATACAACTACGTTGATTACCCGAAGGCACCTCTGCTTATCGGTTTTAACAGCTGAAAATCCTGGATCGACGGTGCCTTGGTGGGTGCCTCCATCTACTCTGCACAAATTACGTAGGTGGTGAGTGTCTGTAGTTCCGCATAAATCGGCTGGAAGAAAAAATAAACAGTTTCTGTGAGGAGTGATGCCAGAGGATTTCCAGTGAGAACCTACACCACTTTCAAAAGTCTCTCAGCCGTCGATATACACACACATAGTGTGGTTGCACAGTCGCAGGAAGTTGACAGTATGGCTGATTGTGAGCCTTGAATGCTTCACAGAAAACCTATCATGGATCGCAGGGTCTTGAATGCTTCACAGAAAACCTATCATGGCTTCTTCACCGTCTATGTGAGATCGCGGCCGGACAATATAGGAAGAGGGGCAGAAGTCTGTTTCAATAGATATTCCTCGCGGTAGTGGTGGTACAATAAGACAGGAGAGCTTACATCTCGATGGCGAGGGAGTGGTTACAAAATGTCCGTCTTTAGAAGAATGTAGGTATGGCGTAGATTGAACTACGTCAAGAAGAGATAAATGGGGAGGAGCTTTACTCAAAACATTACAGCAGTATGTTGAGGTGTAGAGCATTTGGGTCGGGGAAACAATTGTGATTCCGATGATGGAAAAATAACCTTCCTATGTGCTCAGGTTGCACGGATTCTGATGTGATTGCGAAAATAAGTAATTGAGAAATGCCAATCCAAGAGTGAACGAAGAGGAATGTTGAACGGAAGTGGACTCCGTGGACAGGTTTAGATTGAGTAGGATGAAGGGGACGAACAGATGTAATGACTTAGAGGAGTGGGAATTTGTCGCACCCGACAAACCCGCCGCTGATAGTTGCAAGGTCAGTATAGAGTCCAATGGTATCATGTTCACAGCATTGGCGCAAATAGAGAAAGCGGTAAGACAAAGGAAGGCATCGTCCGCAGAAGATGGAAAGGGGAAGGTTGATAATACATCGCTCACCTGGTCGAGAAATGAAATCGGACGGAATATGGACCATTGGAGAGATCCCGCGGTTGTGTTCTGGGTGTGCAACTACAGTCGTTTATTCTTACTAGGATAAAGTAGCCTGTATCTCGGCTTGACCCGTGTGTTTGGGTAACCTGGTATTATTCCATCCAGCTTGCGATCTTCCGGTGGCATGACAGCTAGGCACCGAAAGGGTGCCACGACTGAAGGATTATTCGTTAAAGCGGCCATGGAGGAAGCTTCCGATTCCGTTGAACAAGTCTGGGTTAGACCTATACATGGCCAGATGATCCTCACATGAGACCTGACTTGCGCCCTTTATTTCTCAAGGGTGGCTACATTCGTATCCTCGAGGAAGACCCGGCGCCAGACACGTAGGCTAAGAAAAAACTGCGAGGCCGAAACCTGTAATGAACATCCAATAAAGCGCTGCTCTCAAATAAGGTGCGTTAGATGAATTAGTAGTGGCTCAGATAAGAACCAGATCCGCATGTTCGTACGGAAAGGACAAGAATCTTTTCAGAATATGGGGAAAATATCAGTAGATGAGAAGCGGAAAATCTCCCAATGATAGAAGTGAGTTCGGGGCACAATCACAGAACAATATAGGATGGATACCATCAGAATCAGGTGGCTGAAATAAAATCAAGCTAACCAAATCAGGTGGTGAAATCAAACAGCGAAGGCCCATCTTAGACATGGGAAGTAGTTCGGAGAAGCATGACTGTCTCATACAGATTCGAGTGGGCAGAAATAGAGGAATCGGATATAAGGGTTGGACAAGAACTTCCGAACGAGTGGAATATGTGAGATGAACAGGGACAAATGTGCGTCTGACATCCTTAGCCAGCCCACAAAAACGTCGATGAAAGTGGAGACGCCTTCCGTGGAATGAACCCAAAGTTGAGATAACGAAGGGCAAGTGCTGAGTGCATAAAGGTGGCTGCGGTCGCATAATATCCTATTAAAGTATCTAATCGCAGTTGAGATTCGACGACAGGAAGACATCAGATAGCCCATCGCCACTGTGTAAACAGACACAGCAAAAGTTGGTCTCATACAGAAGTGATAAAGATTTATGACAAAAGAATCAAAAACCACGGAGAAGGACCGAAGGCACAGTGTTATAAAAACAGGTGCGATGATAGGAAAACAGCTGGAAAAATGAAGACGGTTTACGTCACCAGGTTTCGAGCTTTAAATTTAGTTAGGAACAGGTGTCCTGGAGTAAAAAAGCAGTGAGCCGAGTAAGTGTACTAGTTCGATGAGCGTGAGATGCGTGGTATGCGTCGATATCTTGAAAACAAAACGATTTAACCTTGTGGTCAGTGCACTTAGGTCTGTTCACTGCGTAGATGGGCGATGACTATGAATGTTTCCTCATGTTGGGCTAATTGAGTAGAACAGCACTCGTTAGAAAGACGGGAGCAGTTGACTGAAGGAGGGTTTATTGCTGTCGCTTTGGAATACCAAGGCAGAAGACGCTGGATCACAAGAGCAGTATGTATCAAAAGAACAGAATGCGAGAGAGGGCTAACGACAAAAAAGTGATACACGTTCGCGAACCACTTGTATCAGTTTACGGCCAAAGATTCATTGTGTTTCGAGTCCAAGCTCAGAAGCCCACAAGAACCGACAGAAGACAGCTGAGGAGGAAGCCCTCATGTTTAGGTGCGAAGTCGTTGTTTAACCAGCTCGATCTTTTTCTTGCCTTTCTCTCAGTTCTGCAAAGATTGAGCGCTGTGAAAGCCATTGAGCTGCAGTCCGCAGTTCAGTTCAGTTCTAGCTCAGACTGGCACTGTGTCAGTTTTTCGAATATGGTGGATTGGCATGCTTCTTGTTGACTTGCGGGAGCCTGAAGGGAAACGAACTGTCAGATGAGCTCAAACACTGGCGTGGTCGGAATCAAGTTTTGTGCTCCAGAGAAACGCCAGTTTTGAATTATAGCTCTCCACCGGTGGGTGACGGCCACGTGATCCAACTACATCCACGGTTGATTTGCAGTTGGCCAGGTTACGCGATGCAAACGCACATGCTGAAAGTTTGCACTGGTCAGAAGCAGTTAACAATCATTATACAATTGGAGGAGCCGCTCTCCGTTGTATGTGCGACCAGCATCGATTCAAAATCGACCGCCTAAATATGATTCCATGGAGCTCAGACGACCTACTTTAGCATTCATATCACCCCCAAGTATCACAATATCAGTGCTTCTTGCTTCACGAATGAATCCGGATAACTGTCGACCGCCTAATATGATTCCATGGAGCTCAGACGACCTACTTTAGCATTCATATCACCCCCAAGTATCACAATATCAGTGCTTCTTGCTTCACGAATGAATCCGGATAACTGTCGATAGAAAGCACCCTTTCAGCGTCAGAGCCACAGTCCGTTGGAGCACTACAAACAGGCACCGCGTATGCCAAGAGGTATTGAGCTTGATTAAGCTGGATAACCGGACGGCGCAAAGGTGACTGTTTACTGGGATCCAGTCCAGCAAAGCGCGTTCAGCTCTGGGACTGAGTGCGACTCCCACACCATATATTCCGCTAGTCGTCGATTCTGGGTCATCAGACACATGGATGGAGAAATATGAAAGAGCTGATTTCATATTTAGCGTTTTGAGATGCATAACCACGCTCAGGTCTTGTATGCATGTTTCGGAAACAACATACATCAATTTTAAGGGAGTATGAGGTTTTAGCAAGCGTTGTCTGTTTGTTAACATGACTTAGAGTACGGACGTTAAAAGCTCCTATATGGAAAGGATCCTATTGATTTGGAAGTGTTATTTTGTTTATTTTTAATAAGCAGCGGGGAGCATAAGGTCCGTCATTCAGATAACTGATAGTCAAATGGACTATCAAAGTTCGCTTGTATGAGGTTGAGGAGGGGCTTTGATGTACACACAACTGTGCAGGCAAATGGTAATTCCCTGCTACCCAGGCCGAGGAAGGGGATTTAGTTGAGGTACCTCCCTTGAACATTTGACTCAAAAGTGTGACCCACAAGGCAGTGGGAGGACGTACGGTTTTGTTCGTGGATCCTGCCCCTAGCTTTTGACTCAAGTCTAACCCGGGATGTTGTGGGTAATCGGGTTTCCTTCTGGAATCCTTCCGGGACTGATAACTTAATAGTCTGCTCGGCTGCAGGGGGGTTGGCCTAACCTGATAGCACAGGGAGTAGGGTATTATCGTTTCATTCCTAATGCAGCTGTGGACAGCAGGTGCCTTTTGAGCAGCACCGGACTCTGATTTTAAAAGTAATTCAACTGTATTGGATAATGCACCGGCGGTCACGGTCAACCATTGGGTGGTCGGAGTGTATGGTTTTTAGGACAGACCTTTTCTAACCCTCCATCTTCGGGAGATTGCATCGCTGCTTCCATGAATACGGACATTTTGGTTTTCTGCGAGAAGCACCTTACTTCTCTCACACTCCTTTCGCAGAGGAAAGTATGACTTTACCCCCAGACCGCCCCGTAGTACGATTACTCGTGGTATGGGGTCTGACTGCTCCCCTTTGGCCTTCCTGGCATGTTTGAAACTTGTGAGAAAAAGTTCCAGTCAGTGTAGCCCGCGGGACTATTGCAGCACTCAAGCCTGACCATGACGTCAAGGTGGCAGCTTTAGGTCTGGACCCAAATGGCTGATACGGACTTTCATTCTTCGTCTCAGGCCGTGGACTGGCAACCCCCGAGTCATCTCCATTCGAGAAATGGCTAGAAGAAGACGGCTCTACGGAGTAAATGGTCCTTTAGTATATGGAGCACATGGTGTTACGGGCTATGACGTTGGCAAACACAAAGAAGCATTCACACACTCGTTGGTCCACCGAGACGTATGCAGCTACCCGCATGGACGAAGCTGTCTATCACATCGATCGGTTAATTTGTATATGTGATGGACCCAATCCAGTCTTGCAGTAGCGTTTCAGGTTTCCAAGTGTGAAGTGCATTTCAAACTATTTAGCAGAATTAGTTTAGTTGTTTAAAATAACTTGAACTTCTAAAATTTCAATTTCTATGAGAATGCCACAGGAGTATTTTTATCACCGAGATGTAAAGAGCAGGCCG